GGTTGTTAATGATTCTTCCTCCAATCCTGATACCACATTTTTCTTCATATAGTCCAGCTTCTCGGATTATTTGCTCAGCATATAGATTGAATATATTGAATATATATATATTTTTTTTTTTTTTTTAAAGGCCAGACTTACTGCACCGATGGAGACTAGAGGACTCCCCAGGCTCACCCAGAGGCACACTTCAAACCCTAAACCAAATTATCCCTTGAGGTCACTTGTTAGCTAAATAACAGACTGGCTCATAAAATACAGACTACCACCTGTGAGCAGTGAACTCCTTCCAAAAACCATCTACATGACACCAAATGGTCAACAACTGAGGGGCTGGGAAACTAGAGCCCTGGGAACAGCCCAACCAGAACACAGTGAGCAAGGATGGGCATATGGTGGGAATGTAACCAGGGTCACAGAACAACCTGTAGAAATCGTCAGACGAGAACCTAATTTGCTGTGGAAACTTTCATCTTAAGCACAATAAAATCTTATTTAAAAAATCATCCTTTAACATTTCCTTGGGTCTCGATTTTCTAACCAGTAAAAAGGGTATTAGAGACCCCCATCTCGTGGTTTCTAAATTACGTCAAGAGCCAGGCCCATCTAAGGGTTCGTTTTCCTTTCTCCATCTTCCCAGCAGCCTGCTTCCTTCTCAAACTCTGGCGGCAGGGTCTGACCTGGGCCAGGGGTCATTTCGGTTCACTTGACCCCTTTGAACCCCGTCTGCAGGATTTTGACTCCGGAACTCAGAAAGACTCTCATTCTAAATAAGGGCCCCCAACGCGGTGGAAAAGAAAACGGGAAAAAAGAAAAAAAACCTTCTCCCGTCTAGACTTAAAGCTCGGGTTCAAAGGCTCATTGAGACCACGAAGCGCGGATTCGCTTTGCTCAGAGGGTGCAGTACCAGGTCCGGGCGGCAGGCGGCGGCACCTCGGCGCCCCTTGCTCCCCGCGGTCCCTGTGCGCCGCCCAGCCTCTCCTCCCTTAGCGCCGGGCTTGGGTGGGACGAAGTGTCCCAACCCACATCCAAAGGACCCACCAGCTCGGGTCGCTTCTGCCGTCCGGGAGGTTTGAGATGGGCAGGGCCCAGCTTCGAGGTGCGTTTCAGGGAGAGGGATGGACGGGGAGGAAGGTGCGCGCCGCCGTGTCAGTGATTTAATGGTGACCGTTTGTTCTGAGTGGGGCCGGGAGGGTCCCATGGGCATCAGCGCCCTGAACGGCGAAGACGCCAGGGGCTGAGCGAGAGGCTGAGCGAGAGGGGGCCCGGGGAGCGCGCAGCAAGGGACGCTGAGCACGCTAGTCCTGCCTGGGGAGCCCCGTCCCCTAACAGCGGCCGAGCAAGCGGGCTCGGCGCGCACGCCGTGCCCAGGACGAGGCCCCGGAGTCTGCTTCCGGGTAGTTTCAGTGCCGGCGTCTGAAGCTCGGATACACCCCTCCCGCCCCGCGCAGGGAGCGTCGGTTTCTCAAGGCCCTGCGTCCCGGCGCCAGTGTGGCCGCGCGAGGACCCGCCAGGGGGCGCCATTAGGGTGCGCCGGCAGCCGTAGCCCGCCTTTCTGGCCTGTACAGCAATCGGTTCTTGCCCCTTGAAGCCACTGGGCCCCTCAGCTTTTGCGGGTAGGCACCACATCAGCTTGGGGGCGGGGAGGAAAGGAACAGCCAAGGACTGAGTGGTGGTTTCTGCTGCAATCTTTCTCCTCCACTTCACACTTGGGGCACATAAAGGAGTCCTGGGGGGAGGGCGAAGGTTTGCTCTTGACCGCTCACCTCAAGGGTGGCTGGTGGAACCCACCCCGTGGCCGCACGCAAGAAGCCCTGGCGACCTCCTTCCATAAAGATGTGGGACGGCCATGAGTCGGAACTGACCCGGTGGCAGTTTTCTGTTTTGATTTGTTGGCACAAACAGTTCAGGGCATGGTCGGCTACTAAGAGTCCTCCCTTAAAGATGGAGGGAAACAGGGCCAAAAATCCAATAGGAAAAATGGGGGGAAAACAAACAAACATGAACAGCAACTCCCAAAAGAAGGTATAAAAATGGGCCTTGAGTATATGAAAAATGTCCACTGTGGCCCCATCAGTGAAACGCAAACAGAAGTTACTGTAAAGTGAAGCGTTTCACCCACCAGCTGGGCAACAGTTTAGAAAGCCTGGCACCATTTTCTTAGCAGTGCTCTGGGGAGACAGGGACTACTGTCATTACGGGTGGGTTTACAGCTCGGTACAGCCGTGGTGTTGAGGAACTAGGCAACATCTAACAAAACGACAAATGGTTCACCTTTTGACCAGTAATCCCACGTTTGGGAGCTCACCCTGAAGCTGTATCCCATCAATTGGGGTGTCATCATTACAGTAGTCACTGCAACACCGCTGGGAATTGCAAAATACTGGAAAATACAGAAATGTTTCAACGTAAAGAATGAGGCAGCCACACCCGGCAGCTGGGGACAATGACAATGACATAGAACTTCTATGCAGGGCCTGCCAGGATGTGTCTTTAGGTTTGAAAGAGCAAAGTACGAAAGTGTATATAGACTGTACTTGTGCAGGAAAGAGGAAGAAAGAAGAAGAAAGGAGAAGATAT